CCAAATTAGCTGAAATATCTTCCAATAGACCCATAAAGGAAATTATATTGAAATTGCAAACTTAGTGCATATATTAGTACTACTAAAAATAAATAATATACACTATGTTACGTAAATTATATAAAATAACACAATATATAAAAATAAAATAAATCAATAAATAATAATAACAATAAATACGATAGTTACATATGACATGTATAAACTAAAAATAATATAATAGAATAATATATATAAATTAACAGGATGCAAAGTAGTTATCTCTAAGACGTTTCTTGAATACCAACACAGTTTCGGAATTTCTTATATTTGACGGTAGTGAGTACCATAATCTTACCGCGTGAACTGAAAAGGAGTGGGGGTAAAAACCGGAATTATAGACGGGAAAGTCAAGAAGAGTTTTAACAAGGGATCTGCATGGTTTGTCCGGAGAATGGGTGAAGGAAAATCGGCTTCTGAGGTATGTGGGAGAGGAAGGGTTGTGTAAAATGTTATAGAGGAGACATAACAATCGAGTGTTCCTTCGAAGTCGAATGTGGAGCCACTTGAGTTGCTTACGAAACTGAGATATACGGTCAAATTTCTTGAGCCCAAATATAAAACGGATACACTGATTTTGCAAGCGCTCAAGTTTATTAAGAAGCTGCTCTGTAGCATCCAAATAACAGGCATCCGCATAATCAAGGAGAGGTAGGATAAGAGTAAGCACGAGTGATATTTTAGCTTTAAGGGGTAAGAAATTTTGTAGACATTTAAGCGAATGCAAAGTAAAGTAGACCTTGCGACTAACCTCAGCGATATGCGTGGTCCATATTAAATGGTGATCAAATATGACATCTAAGTTTTTGACAGTATTGGCAAAGGGTATAGGAACGCCATTAAAACAAACAAAAAGTGATGTAAATTCTAATCTATTACGCAAATGCCTACTGCCTATTATGATGGCCTGAGATTTCGTGGGATTAACTAATAGACCGAAGGCAGACCATTCACAGATGCGGCTCAGATCTGCATTCATGGTTGCAATTGCATTATTTGTATCACCCACCGGAAAATGACGATAAAGCTGTAAGTCATCCGCTTAGAGATGGTAATTAGATGTAATAACACTCGTAATAGAGTTAATAAATATGGAAAATAAAAGGGGGGAAAGAACGCCACCCTGAGGTACACCCGTAGTGATACCAGACCAATCGAAAAGAGTGTCATCAACACGGACACAATGTGATCGGCCACGAAGATATGAATCAAACCATGCGATGGCAGATGGGGAAATGTTTATAGATTCCAGGATCCGGAGAAGAATATCAAAGTCTACTGAGGTAAAAGCACTACTAAAGTCAAGCAAAACTAAAAGTGTAAGAGATTTATTGTCCATGGCCCAACGGATATCATTGGTTACTTTAAATAAGGCAGTGACAGTGCTGTGTCCACGACGAAAGCCCGAATGACAAGTGGAGAGCAAGGAGTTAGACGATAAGAAGAGAGAGAGTTGACTATGGATAATGTGTTCCAGAACTTTAGAAAGAAAGGGTAAAATAGATATGGGACGAAAGTGGGATAAAGAAGAAGGTTTAGAAACCTTATGCAGAGGAATTATATATGCTTGTTTCCAAACTGAAGGAAAAGATGATGACGATATAGAAAAATTAAATATGTGAGCAAGAATTGGTAGAAGTAAAGGTAGAACTGGCAAAATCATCTTCGCGCATAGACCATCAATACCAACAGCATTTGAAGAGATGGCTAGGATGGATTTTTTGACATCTTCCTCCGTTACAAGGGAAAGATGAAAAGGACAAACGTGCTGCTTCGGTATACCCGCCAATGCGAGTAGTGTGTTGGATTTGATGTAAGGATCTAAAGTCATAGGAGGAGTAGCAAAGTGATTGTTTAGATCCTTTACTTTAACGTCATTGTATTCTAGGATCGGAGACCTGGCCACACCAACAGAACGAAGGAACTTCCACATCTCATTAGAATTTTTGTTATGGAGAGAGTTGTAAAAGTAGCTTCTTTTAGCATACCGACATAAACGTCTGCAGCGGTTGCGTAAAAATTTAAAACGATTTAAGTTATTTTCAGATGGGAGACGTTTAAACCTTTGCTTAGCTTTGTTCCTCTGGCCCATAAGTTCTCTTATATCTTGTGTAATCCATGGTGCAGGGTTACGCTTTATTTTTACGTGTTTGAGCGGGGCATGGTCATTGTATACCTTCAAAATTATATCATTAAAGTTACAAACCTTCTCATTAATATTAGTATTGTCAACAATAGGTGTCCAATCAACATTACTTATATCATGCTGCAATAACTCCAGATCTATTCCCTTGTAATTACGAAGGAACAAGGATTGGGATTTCTTTTTAGGCGGACAGAGACGATAAGAGAGGTAGATTAAATCATGATATGAAAAAGAGGCAGTTATTTGTCCATGAGATATGACACTATCAGGAGAAGAAACGATCATAATGTCAAGCAAAGAACGGTTACAGTTAGGGAAGTGGTGAGTTGCCTGAAGGGGGAGAGTGAGAAGATTGAAGGAAGATACCAAAGTCAGAAGTTTTTGGGAGCGAGAATCATTTTAATAAGGCAGGTATTGAAATCTCCCATAAGATTAATATGATCGTAAGTAGTACTAAAATCAGCAAGGATTTTTTCAAGCGTATCAAAGTAATCTATGTGCGTGTTAGGACTGTAAAATACCGCCAGCAACATTTTTACATGATTGAGAGTAACTTCTATAAAGAGATATTCAGCAGATTGAGAGTAAATAGAAGGAGAGGCACATATGGTCTTATAAAATATATCCGAACGCAGGTATATAGCTATCCCACCACAACCTTTTCCTGTACGATCATTACGAATGAGGACAAAACCAAGTAAGGCAAACTGTGTAGAGGGGAGTGATGGCTTGAGAAATGACTCAGTAATTAGTAAAGAATCGAGATGTGCACTGTTAATGGATGCTAGAAGATCAGGATAATGGCGAGGTACACTCTGAATGTTAATGTGTGCAACATTAAAGTTGTTATGAAGGGATGAAATCTGGTCATACCAAGTTAAAGGTAACTCACTATCTGCACTTGTAAAACTACTTGAAGATGAAGAGCATGAGAAGAAACCGTCATCAAAAACATCAAGATTATCCATTTAGCAAATAAATTAAAATCTAAATATAATAATACAATTTAAAAATATGTATAAATATGATTTGTGTATACAATATATACGTATATATTTATAAATATCAATTTAGCAATTACTTAATTAAAAAAAAAACAAAACTTAGGTATAATCTAATACAAACGGAACAGAAAAAAAAATTAAAAAACATCTAAAATCACCAATCACAGAACTGTTATGAAATACTGAAGAAAAAAAATCTTATGAGAGTATAATTTATACATAAGATTCGATTAAAAAAAGAAGTTTAAAATGTTATGATATGAACCTATCTTATAATTAATCATATTAAATTATTATATACATATTAAACTTCCTTAAGAGATTAATAAAAATATTGAAAAACACTATTACATATTACTGCAAAGCAGAATAAATAATACATTTTCCCAAGCTACAACTTGACAGCAGCACAGTGGCCAAAGGGCCGTGTGCCACAACTAAGAGAAAAAGTAAATAAAAAAATGCATTATAGTCATCTCAAAACTCACGAGCGTCAATTCAATGTGAATCACAGACTAATATGTTGCTTACGCAAATGTGAATGATAAAATAGACATTTTGATAACTACTGTGTGTAATTAAATGCTTATCTCATTATGAAAGTACCAGCTGGAAAAATGTATCATTATTACAGAAATATAAAGTAATTATAAAACAGTATTACAAAGTGGTTGTAAAGCGACTAACAAAAAAAAATGATTATAATATGTACCTATATTTTCTGAAAGAAAACAACGAAACTAGGGATTAGTTGCGGCGACGAGCCTTCCGTGGAGCATTAGTAGTCAGTCTGGACGCAACTTCCTTTGGAGAAATGGGTTCGTAGACTGCCTCATTGACGTACTATACTGTGGGGATATCGGCAAATAAGGGGTTTCAGTTCTGCCATAGACCATAGGTTATTTGTCCGGCAAAATATTAACTATTTTGCCTTCTACGGACCAGCAGTTTTTAATCCCGAAATGTTTACGAGCTGTCATAAATACTTTGTGCCTTGTCTTAGTCAAAAACTCAGATATTGTGATACCTGAACCTTTTAGTGAAGTTTTGTTATCCCAGACAAGACGACGACTCTCCAGACTACCAAATTTAACAAGCACTGGGCGTGTTGAGGCTTGAGAAGATCCAAGACGATGGCATACTTATATATCCTCGACTTTCAAATCGGTCACCTTCATTTGGTCGGAAAACAGCTTATATACCGATTCATGCAACTTCTCATTCTGTCTTTCAGAGAAACCAGGGATAAGCAGTATTTTTCTCCTCATTGCTGTTTCATGTTTGTCAATATTGTATGTAACTAAGTCCAATTGTTTTCTGATCAGCGATAGCGATTGACAAATAAAGGATTTGAAATCGTTGAAGTCCTTGGACAGTGAAGAAATGTCTGGGTGAACTGGCGAGGTAACATCTGAGGCTTTTAAAAGCTTATCTTCATAATCACGCATGCGAGAAGAAAATAATTTTTCCAGTTCGTCAAGATTATTTACAAGCTGTTGGTCCATATTAGACTGTTATGCAAAACTGTACTTTAGCAATAAAAAGATAAAAATTGTTAAGAACAGCACGTGTTGGTAGACTTTAGCAGTATTTTACACATTTATTTAGAAAGAACGAATACTTTAAATAATTTAACAATAATAAATATAATTAGCACACTGAGTTTGCGTGTTTACTTTGCGACAACCCGCAAAAAAAACCTTTTTTATTTTTTTATTGTATTATCCTATAATCAGTAAGTTTATTGCATGATTTTATCAAAATATCACAAAATTATTCTATCTTGTTTCATATATAAACTTGGTTACAGTATGCCGTTCGAAAGGGAACATCATCGTCTAGAATCGCTTCTTCATGAACTGCTTGATGACGACAGACCATCAATGTATTCAAACAGTGAAGCTGGAAGTGACATCAAACTGGAGAATGCTTCACCAAACGACATACAGGATTCAAACAGCGAAGAGGAGCTAAGTGACCGAGAAGCTTCAGGTAACAACTGTGCCTTTTATTTAGGAAAGGATAAAAGTACGAAATGGAGCAAAAAAGCTCACCGCCAATCTGTCTGTACTAGAGGTTTCAATATAATAACTCAGTTACCAGGACCTAAACGAGTTATATCTAGTGAAAAGGACCCTCTTGGTATTTGGAGACACTTCTTTGACGATACTATTATTTTAAGATTATTGTCGAATATACCAACCAATACATTGCTTCCGTGAAAGATAATTATGCTAGAGAAACGTATGCAAAACAGACTGATTTCAACGAGATATATTGCTTGATTGGTTTGCTTCTATTAGCCGGAGTGAAAAAATCGAATCACCTGAATGCTGAAGAGTTGTTTCGAACGGATGGTGGTTCATTGGAAATATTTCGGCTTTCAATGTCTGCCCAGAGGTTTCAATTTCTTCTACGAACTTTGAGGTTTGATGATAGTATTACAAGGATACAAAGAAAAGAACTAGACAAAATTTGCCACATTCGAGAGATATTCAAGAAATTTGTCTAAAATTGTAAGGATAGTCACACTTTATCTGCTTTTGTGACTGTCGATGAAAAGTTGGAAGCTTTTCGCGGAAGGTGTTCATGTATTGCCTAAATGATTAGGCAATACATTCCGAATAAGCCAAATCCATATGGTATCAAAATTCAAGCTTTGTGTGACGCTAAAATGTTTTATACATTCAATATGGACACTCAAGACAATTCTGGCTTGGCTGTGGTTCAACGATTATGCGAGCCCATTTTTAATACTGGTCGTAACGTCACAACAGACAATTGGTATACCAGTATACCATTATCTGAAGCATTGCTTGAGAAGTTCTCACCACAGTCGGAACAATGTGTAAGAATAAGAAATAAATTCCCCCCTGACTTCATATTGCGTGGTCGAACTGTGAACTCAAATATGTTTGGGTTTCGCGACAATATGGTTTTGGTTTCATATGTTCCAAAAGCAAGAAAAAACGTTCTCCTGATCAACACAATGCACAATGATGCTACAATTGATGCCGAAAGTCAAAAACCAGATATAATTTTGTGTAACAATGACACCAAGGGCGGCGTTGACGTGGTAGATCGTTTGTGTGCTAATTACAATTGTGATCGAGGAACAAGACGCTGGCCTATAGCAGTTTTTTATGCTGCGCTAAATATCAGTACCATAAACAGTCAGGTGATACATACAGCTAACAACCAAAATTCCAAAATGAAACGTCGTCAATTCATTGAGAATTAGGCTATGAAATTAATTGAACCCCACATAAGAGAACGACAGATGCACTTGCATCTGCCACGGTCAATGAGACAAAGACTGTCTGAAATTTTGAAGATAGATGAGGTACCTGGAACGGCTGGTCCATCACGAAATGGCCGTTGCTTTGTATGTGGATAGAAAAAAAAAACAGAAAGACCAAATACACTTGCCACAAGTGCAAGAAACATTTGTGTCTTGAGCACGTAGTGCCTTATTGCAGTATTTGCTTGACTGAAGAATAGTGATTTTCAAAGAATTTTTTTGTAATTTTTTGTTGGTAAGATGCCATTTTTTGTTTATTATAAGTAAGTTCCTAGAGTGTAAAAACTGATAAGACTGAATTAATTTTAAAAATATGTTGATTATTGAATTTTAAAATTTTTAAAATAGCTATGTGTAAAAACTAACTAATTTTATAGGGTCTATGTGAAGTTGTCTAATCATAAGAAAAAGTAAATAAACGAGGCTGTGATTAATGAAATGTTGTTGTTTTAATGTCAAGTAATTTATAATTGATGAATAAAATGGTCAGTAAATAAAATATTTTGAAAAATCTTCCATTGAAAACCCCGGTGCGTGGGACCGGGATCACCGAAGATGTAAGTCAAAACGATGTCACCGTTGGCGGGTTAAGCTTGCATGTCTTAGCAATAAGGAAAAAATATTTCGAAGACATGTGAAGTTTCAAGGAAATATGCACCACGTTGGGGCAGCGTGGTGCACATTTCCTTGCCCTAAAACTCTCTTAAAATTGAGTGAAGGCCTGTGCCCAGAAATGGGAAGTATATATGGACTGTAACTTTAACACTATCTATTTAACTTATTAATACTGACTGTTTATGGATTCTTGACAACAGCACTCGAAGAATAACAGCAACAAAAACCTAGCATCGTAACAAATCGGTAGTCATTTTGATGCTGTAATGTATAATATTATATTATAAGTAAGTCAAACCTGTTTTCTTGTTATAAGACTTCTATATATGTAAGGTAACCTTGAATATAAATTTTTCCTTTTTTTTCTTCTTTCAATAATATAACATAACGTATTATATTTAAACTACCAGGAGACTTAATTGGTAGACTCTAATTAATATTTAATAGCAAATGTGAGTGCATATTTGTTTGTTTTATTTTTTACTCTCGTATTATATACCTAATGCAATATCTTTATATTTAATAAATAACAGATTATGGACTTTTGGATATCATGACCAGAACCCTATTTTTGCTGGCCTGCTCTTTAGAATAAGAGTAACAAAGGAGTATATAGTCCATCCTGGTAATAGGAAGCTGTGGCCAATAGACACCTACATATTTCTTCTCTGTTATGATGTCGTAAAGCGACAATTAAAAACTAAATAACCTAACCTAACTACAACAAAACAACCAAAAATAAAATAAATTATTTAAAAATTTGAAAAGATTTACAGTTTCTTTTATAAAAAAAGGTATGAAGGTGATGATGGGCTGTAATGATGATAGTGATTTACAATATTATTAAAAAAAATAACAAAAATAAAGATACTGCAACGAAGTATGCACAGGCTATGCCTATGATAGGTGCACAGCGCCTGCTCTAGGTACACGCAGAATCTGGAGAAAGCACATGCAGCGTCTGGAGAAGGTACACGCAGCGCTTGGAGTAGGCACACGCAACGCCCGGAGCAGATACACGCAGCACCCGGAGTAGACACGCAGCGTCTGGAGTAGGTACACGTGGCGCTTGTAGTAGGCACACACAACGTCCGGAGTAGACACACACAGCGTCCGGAGTAGACACGCAGCGTCTGGAGTAGGAACACGCAGCGCTTGAGACAAGCACGCTCAGCGGCCGAAGATAGCGCGGGCACTAATAGGTGGAGGCGTAGGCGTGGCTAGGCGACGACTTCAGGAGAAGGCTTGCAAGATCCCGAGGCAGTGCGGATAAAGCCTTTAAGAGGTGCTTCTCGTATCAAAGCTGAAGTGAGGACCTCTATTGGCCGATTCTTTGGCTTTTATACTTTTTGACGGATCTGGGATAAGAACGAGAAATTATTTGAAATTATTTAAATTAAAAGCAAATTTTTGTAAATGGCCAAGAAGAAAAGAGTATTTTTGAAGTAAAAACATCAGGCCGGTAACGATATTTGAATAAAAATTGCCATGACAACCAGATAAACAACGATGTCAAAACATGTCAAATTTTGGTTTTAGGCTCGTAATAGAGAAACGGCAAGATTTAAGTGAAAAATGAGATATTATTTATATAGGAAAAAAAGGTAGCGCAACAGTGCGCACGAAGCCCGAAATTGCAGAGTTACGGAGAACTAAATAAATGATCGAAAAAGGTAGACTCCATTGACACCGATTTAAAAAGTGCTGATAACGTGAAAATACGAAGTGAAAATGATTTGTTATTGTGTTCTTATGAATTAAAAATATTACAGGATCCTATGGAAATAAAGGTGATGCAAAATATCCAGTTTTGAGGTGAATGTAGAAAATCAAAAAACAGAATGGAAAAATAAAAATAAAATAGTGTAAAATGATATGTAAGTATGTATGTAAGCATAACACTACATTTTCCCCCCGACCCTGGAAAATTTTTGACTCAGCAAAAATTTTGAGATGTACATTCCAAAATAAACCATAAAAACACAGCTTTGCAGTAACAGACATCACCAGGCAATATCAGATATACTATCTCTTACATTCATCATCTGCATTCAGGTAAGGGTGGAGTTCACATTCAATGACTACCACTCTAAAAGTGTGTTTTCGAAAGGACATTCAGGCTTATTTAAGGAGTTGTCATCCGCTCCTGCGTGGAAAAAAAAATCGAAAGGACATCCAGGCTTATTTAAGGAGTTGTCATCCGCTCCTGAGTGAAGATAAAGTTAAAGAAATTAATCTTAAGCAAGCTTTAGTCGCTATGACTTAAGTAAAGATTAAGAACGGCCAGAGCGGTAGGGCTCAAAGCCAGAGATCAGCAACATCACTAACGAGATGTGTCTGAAATAAAAATAAAAAGTGAAGATTAACCAACGAAAGTTCGAGGTCCTAAAGCAAGATGTGTTGAAGAACACTGGATCATCAAACAAAATAATAAGGTGAGAATGATGGTGATATTTATACATATATACAAATTAACAGTTAATAAAAAAAATTATGATTTTACATCTTTGATGTGCCACTTGCCTCTAACTCCATTAGGGTCTTCAAGCACATAGACTAGTGGTGACAGTTTAGCTATCACTTTGCACTTGATGAACTTAGGGGCAAGTTTAGCATTAAAGTATGCGCCGGCATTGCTTAAAACATGGTTTTTACGCCAAACAGTGTCTCCCACATTAAATTCTTTAAAAGACCGGCGAAGATCATAGCGAGCGCTATTTTTAGCGTGAGCTATGTGAAGTTTAGTTTGAACTTTGTGAAAAATAGATGAGAGGAGACCAGCATTAGACGCGTAAATATCACGAGGCATAAATATCAATTCCTCAAGGTTCTGAGTTGGAGTATAGAAGGAACCACAAGGTATTGTTTCCCTACCAAAGACTAAAAAGTTTGGAGTAAAGCCAGTAGCTACATTTGTAGCGCTGTTCATTGCGTACTGAATCTTAGCAAGATGGTTGTCCCAGGATCTATGATCGTCTCCTACTAGAGATGCTAGAGCTGTAATAATTGTACTATTAAACTTCTCCGTAGGATTAACCTGAGGACAATATAAAGCTGTGTGAAAAATACAAGGAACGTTATAAGAATTTAAGAATGATTGGAATTCTCGCGACTGAAATTGAACCGCGTTGTCCATTATAATAGTTTGGGGGAATGCCATGAACTAGGAAAACTGAATTTTCCAAAAGATTAATAATATTAGCTGAAGTAGCACGTTTAAGGGGAAAAATCATAGTATATTTAGTAAAATTGCAGTTAATTACTAGAATATATTGATTTCGTCTTCGAGTCATAGGTAATGGACCC